TCAACGCGGCCTCCTCTCGTAAACGACCAAGGGTAATGTCAATAACAGATAGTCCTCAGCAGGACCGATCTCCTTCAGGTGGCTATATGCGTGCTCGACCATCATCATGCACGCCTGGCGAGGCTCAGACTCCACCAGATTCGACGGTTTCCCCCAAGGCAAGGATAACGGGCTCAGATGTTAGCCCGAAGAGAGCACGACTTTCCTATGATGTCTCGCGTTCAAATTCATCCGGCCATACTCAAGTCAAATTGCTCGCCAGAGAACCTGCAAGCTTCCGCCGCGCGGCCTCTCTCCGTTCAGAGCCCTCGGCTAAACTGTTGTCAATTGCTGAACTCAAGAAAAAGCCCGCTGTCGCAGCTGTCATCTGCTCCAAGTCCGCATCCAACGCCTCACTTGAGGGTAATCCGGACTCGGGCGAGTATCCTCCTACTCAGCCAGTCACACCTGTTAGTCAGAGCCCCCACATACCCTCTTCTGCGTCTGGCTCCCCGTTCCCGATCCTCTCCCCATCGGCGCTCGGACCTATGCCTACGCGAAGACTCATGGACGCGGAGGTCGCTGAATCTCGAATTCGAATCCTCGTCCGGAAAGAGCTTGCTGCGAGAGTCTCGGACGGTTTACTCTCCGCTAGAGAAGACACTGGCGACATTTCTATCGACCCTTGTGCTACTGTAGATTCCGATCAGGAGATGTGGACTGCTCTTGGAGAAACGGTATCTAACGGTGAAATCAAGGCTTCAAAGGTTGGTATACGCCAGCAGCAGTCCGAGGACCAGCCCGCAACCCCCAGTCTGACTGAAGTTCCACTCACCCTGGGAATTGAAGAGGAATTTCGTGTGCGGGTCGTCGAATGGATATTGGACGTGAGTAGAACATAGCTGTACCTCGCCAGTCACTTACATTCATGTCGTCTACCAGGTCAAGCCTCCGAGCTTCCCGTCCAAGCCATCGAAGTGTGCCAACCTGCGTGCGCAGCTGACCGAGTCTCCGAACACGCGGTGGCATGCTGCTCACCTGCTCACTCGTTACTTCCTTCGTCTCGGCCCTTCGCCTCTCTCTTCGCCTATTCCCGAATCTTCATCTGACGAGAAAGGGCACCGCGTTTTGCACGGGCGGGAAGCCCTGACATGGGACGTCGCTGTGGGGTGTATATCTCTCGCTGTCAAGGTACATCCGTCAATGTCTTATCAGGGGTGTCGATTATCTGACCTTGGCGTTGTAGTTTCATCGCGACTTCCTTCATCCTCTGTACCCGGCCCTTGCAAGAGATTATCTCATTCTGGCACCTCACACAATGGAGTATGAGGATCTCGAGGTATGTGACTGGTACTTTCGTTGTTCTACTAGACTTCTTAACGTAGATAGTCTGCGCATCGGGATATTTTGACCGCCATGGACTACTGTATCGAAAGCTATACGCCCGGCGCATACATCGAAGAGCTTCTCGCCGCCCTGCCGTCTATACGCTCTTTCACAGATGAACGAGGTGACTGGGACTTCGCTCGCACAGAAGCGTGGGAGATCCTCTTCGATTCGCTTGTTGGTGCGTATGTTTCTTTCTAGTATGGAGCTTAGCTCAAAATACGTTAGATATTGCCTATTTGCACCACCACGTCCATGTGATCACCGGCTGTGCCCTTGTCATTGGCATTGTCGAGTCGATTGTGTACAGGAAGAAGACTGAAGCCGCGTTCAAGTCCAAGTACTCGTCAGGGGCAGCTTCAAAGCGACGCCGCGGCCTGAAATGTGAGTGCGAGAAATCGAGAGAAAAAGCGGTCAAGGCGGCGTTTTGTATCGAACAAGACATTCAGGACGTGCTGGGCGTGTCGGAGGTGAGCATACACATGTCATCTGCTGGTGGCCATCGGCTGAGTGTGTTAGACGTCCTGGGCGCGATGCATGACCTGGCTGAAAGCGATGGATGCGTAACCGGAGGCAGTAGATCAACGTCGTCTCGCCTTGACATCTGCTGGACATTGAGAATTCTACCTGTAAACTACATCGAAATGCTTGGCCAAGTTTGCCGTACTCATACGATCCGACCAATATTGACGTTGTCCAAGGCGAGACCAGTGATTGTGAGGGTTAGACGCCTGAAGGTACTGTAGGACAAGCACGTGAGCACTACCTGATCTAGATCACCTCCGCCAGAATTTTCGCTGCAGCAAGGCGGACGCACTCTCGCTCTATCTCGTTTCCCTACTCTTTCATCCTCCTGTCATGTCTCATATTGTAGACATCCCTGTTATACCATCAGCTTTACCTGCAGGCTGGACGCCTCCGGCGTCGTCTGGCAAGCCCATCTCGCGTACGTCTCGCATCTTCTCCGGAGGCTTCGAGGGACTCAATCGTACTTCCACTTCCTGGGATCTGCAGCCCTAGTCGAGCGTCGACTTATTCCTGCCGGTCCTGCGTATCTCGCGCACGTCAAGCGGGCTGTACATAACATCACATTCGAGGAGCACGACAAACACGCGGAGGAAGAGAGAAAACGCCTCGAGGCTCTCAACGGCGCGAGCACCAACGGCGACGATGATCTCGGTGTTGGTGATGAAGAAGAGCCTGAGGACTTGCTGAGTCTTGACCCGAAGGAGTGGAAGGTGCGTGCATATATACCAGCACGATCAGAGTCGTACTGATAATCATTTAGAAACAAGACCACTACGCGGTGCTCGGTCTGTCTCACCTACGATACAAGGCAAGCAATGAACAAATCAAGATTGCTCGTATGTGCAAAATCCTCGTCGGCGAAGGATCGAAACTAACCCACATATCCACTGCTAGACCGGAAAAAGGTGCTCAAGCACCACCCCGACAAGAAGGCCGGAGTTGCAGGAGACTCCAACGACGATGCCTTCTTCAAGTGTATACAAAAGGCTATGGAGGTGCTGAGCAACTCCGAGAAGCGCCGCCAGTTCGACTCCGTGGACCCACACTTTGACGAGCTCGAGCAAGACGTGCCCACCGAGAAACAGGTCAAAAACGCTAAGAACCCCGAGACGTTCTTTTTCGACACCTTTGTTCCCATCTTCGAACGTGAGGCACGCTTCAGCCGCAAGCAGCCCGTCCCGATGCTTGGCGCAGTCACCGACACGAAGGAGCAGGTCGAGGGCTTCTACGACTTCTGGTACAACTTTGACAGCTGGAGGAGCTTCGAGTACCTGGACAAGGAGGTCAACGAGGGCAGCGATAGCCGAGACGACAAGCGTTACACGGAGAAGAAGAACAAGACTGAGCGTGCTCGTCGTAAGAAGGACGACACGGCGCGCCTGCGTCAACTCGTCGATTTGACCCTCAGCGTGGACCCACGCATCAAGAGGATCAAGGAGGAGGAGAAGCAGGCTCGCGAGGCCAAGAAAAAGGGAAAGACGCAAAACGGAAACAGCGCGTTGGCAAAGCAGCAGGCCGAGGAAGAGAAGCAGAAAGCCGAGGAGGAGGCGAAGAAGAAGGAAGAGGAAGAAAAGGTTTGCACATTTGCTACTGGTGCCATTGCACTCTGCTAACGATCATCTTCCAGGTTGCTCGCGCAGAGGCCAAGAAGGCCAAAGCCGCCGCTGCCAACGCCGCGAAAAAGGCGAGACGACAGGCTCGCGATGGAGCCGCAGCTTGATCGTCTTGTTTACCGCGGTGCCCGTCGATCTCGGCTTTGCTCTTATTGTCACACGCTCACTCACCTTGTTGTACTCTCTTAGAAGTCGCTCTACATGTTGCACATGTTAGTACTAATGAACACTCATTGGATGTTTTTCCTGCGCATCCGTTCTCGGTGTGTTGCCTGAATGCACGCTTGTGAAGTGTTAGAGTGGGCGTCTACAGTCCAATCCATGCTGACATGGGGCTGACCGTCAACACGATCGACGGTTTATACTTTGTACAACTCGGTCTGTTTCACGCAAATCCAGCCGCAGGTCAGCCTCTGGTTGATAAATACGGCTCGTTCACGTTTCTCTCTTACCATCCTACCCCCACGATTCACCCGAATTCATCACCCCACTGCATCCAACGGACCATGCCCAGCCTCTTATCCCTCATTGTTTGGACGCTCTCCGCCTTCGTCATCTCTGCTTGGGGAACTCCAGCCGGAATCCCCCCTCCTGTACATGACCATACTGGCGTAGCCGTGAACATGCCCGTAAGTCACCACGTTCATTCGACGAATCCCAGCCGCTCATGAACGCCCTTCCAGCACTCGAAGCGCATGGTGTGCGAGTTCGATGTCCCTGGAGAATCCCCGACGCCGGCAGATGGAGCGTTTGGCGGCGTCCATCCGAATGGTCCATGCGATCGTTAGGCAAGAGTTGTGCAGCCGTCCTATTCTGGGTCTCTCTTCGTGTACAGACTGCTTGTAATGATCCATGCAAGGGGTTGAGAGTCACTCTGAATTCAGATAGGATCTTTGGCATTGCGAGTACTTGGCGTGAATTATTTGGTGTGAAGTCCATGACCTCCAGGTATCGGACCCCAACTGACCAACATGATACGTGCACCGCAAACAGGTCTAGCCTGCCAACTAGTTATAGGTGCCACTGTCTGCGACATACACATCTGCATGTCAGCTCAGGCTGCAGTGCGTACGATATGATAGTACGGCTACTGACCTACGGTGGACTTACTTCAGGTCAGCCGCGCTAGTACTTACCCATTATTGACTTGATTATCAGCTTATTACCTAACTTAGCTCCAGCTCCCATCAGTCGGCTGCTTGGCTTTACAGCCCGTGCACACCTCTTTTCATCGAGCTGGCATATATCAGGAAGAACGGGATGAGAGCTGCTTGAGCTATACTGGGCACGAAAAATATTTCTATGTCGATGTTGTGCACCTCTCGGAGTTTCAGCTGGTAAGCTTTGAATCATTATGCTCTACAATGGGCGCTAACACTCGTATCCCTATGAGAGCGAGCGCAAAACAAACTCACTCAATATTCACGACTTCACCGAGAAATTGTGCTCATTTTAGGCAGATAAAAAAACAACGAAGGGCAGCAGCAAAAGTAGTCCTTCGAGCCGGGATCGAACCAGCGACCTCAAGATGTCGAAGTATATCCGATTTGTATCCGATTACAGTCTCGCGCTCTTCCAACTGAGCTATCGAAGGCTTGACATACTTAAGCACAATATATCCTATGTGTACGACATAGTGGGAGCGGAAATTATACCTGTTTGATCTGTAGCAATCTTAACTACCCCTTCACCAAAACCATGGCGAGCACGTTTGTACATTCCCTCTGAAACTTCATGACATGGAACTTACCTTCTATACTGCAGAGCACCAAAGACATCGTGGGCCGACGAGATCGACGAGCTTGGTTAGTACACCATCTATTAAGTTTATCTCACATGTCACTCATCTGTCCCAGAGCAGCCCAAGGGCGAAGACTACACTGATGAAAACGGGATCCGGACAACCGTAGAGTACACCGTGAATGATGAGGGCAAGAAGGTCAAGGTACGTAAAGCGAGACCCTGCCATCTAGTATACCATCCAACTACGCACTTTGACGTAGATCACTCGGAAAATCAAACGCACTCTGAAGAAAGAGGTCGTCGACCACACCGTTGCTGAACGCAAGACCTGGTCAAAGTTTGGACAGGAGCGGGGTAACAAGCCAGGCCCAGACAGGGCAACGACGACGGTCGGAGAGAGCGTCGCTCTCAAATTGAGCGCAGGAAACAAGGTACGCCCATCATGCTGTGGACAGAGACATGAATTTACGCTCCATCCCTGGACATCAGAGCTCGGAGCCCGAGCCTTCGGCTGAGCAGACATTGAAGAGCAACCTCGCCCGTGCAGGTGCAGGCAAGGTTGTCTGCCGTCTTTGCAAGGGCGACCACTTTACCGCAAAATGTCCTTACAAGGACTCTCTTCCCGGCCTCGAAGGCACAGGTATGGCCCATCATATCGCATCATCGAGGAAGAACTCTCATCCATTCTTTAGATGCACCACTCGGAGGGGACGACGCTCCCGCGGCTGAGACTGCTGCGCCTACCGCAGGCGGCAAGTATGTCCCCCCTTCAATGCGTGGCGGTAGGGGCCCTGGAGAAGCGATGGGTCGACCTGGCGGATCGCGAGACGACATGCCCACGTTGCGCGTCACAAACATATCTGAGGACACAGAAGAGAACGACCTTCGCGAGCTGTTCAGCACGTTTGGCCGCATCGCACGTGTATACGTCGGACGCGACAGGGAGACCGGCATCGGCAAGGGTTTTGCGTTTGTCAGCTTCGAGGAAAAGTCCCACGCGCAAAAGGCAATGGAGAAGATGCACGGAAGGGGCTATGACAACCTCATTCTCAGCGTGCAGTGGTCACGTACGTAAAATCTATCATGGATTTTGCACAATACTGAACTCTCTTTGACAGAGCCGAGGGAGCAGCGGTAGATTACGGCTTGTACGATATGTGTATCCACTGCTTCGTCGGTTCCCGCTGGCAGACTTGTAACGTCGATCTCATTATCCATCGCGCTCCGCAACGTTTCGAGAAGCAATTTCCTTCCTGAGTCAGGTGCGTCGTGGACCTCAGTGATATGCAAGACAACTGCTTTGCATAAAACCAGGTTCATTCTATCATGACATAATTATACTCCTGCTCATTCACTACGAACAGTCGACGCTTCAGACAAGTGTTATGTTTCGTTATCGTCATCTCGACGGCTAAATAGTCCTTGCACTCTTCTAGCCGTCGCCAGACTCGTACTCGGTCAGGTCGCATGGGCCTTAGGAGCTCGCTCTATCTCGTAGGTCACAAGGAGACGATGCAGCTATCAGTTTGAATTTTGAGCTAACTTTTGTTTCGCGTCCGAATTGCGTCATATCCTGACTCATAACATCAGAGGATGAATGCGAGCGGCAAGTCCGCAATGCGAGTCATGCGCCTAGCCTTTAATACGGGTCTACTTTGACTCGACACATCCAGATGCCAGCAGGTACGCCAGCATCGACATGACTGCTGCGCTATTATGATGAGAGGTAAGCATCAAATCGCGTCTGACTCGCCTGCATTGCATTCTGGAGCTCAACGTTCCACGTTCAACGTTCAACATTCAACACTTGAAAGCTAGTATGTTCGATTTTTGGCAGCCACCATCATGATCCATCGAAAGTGCGGTACTACATCAGTACTCTACCATCTAGCCACGAGACACCATCTATGCTTAAACGGTAAACCATTTTCTTCATTAGCCCAGGTACTTATTCTGCCAGCATCAACTCGGCCTCGAACAGGTACTCAAACTGATCTTCGAAACTTCGACTTATGCTTGGTCATGGGACCGTCTGCTACTAGTAATATTACGTGGGTATAAAATACTTTTCAACTGATGTCACTCACCTTTTTCCTCAGCTTCGGTCCAATCGATTTCCCACTGAGTGTTGCGTGCACCGTTGACTCACAGATTGCACTTATGCTAGCGCATTATTAATGTGGCGCACGCAAACATGTGCAACTGAGCATCCATTTGAATAGTCAGTCGATGTTGTGGCACCAACGTTAACGTATCATTGATCTGACCCCTTGTCCATCCTCGGTTTGACGTCTTGTTTCATCACCTCTGTGATGCAGGTCCAGAAAATCAGGTTGAGCAAAATAGAGGCTATTTAAGCGAAGAATACCTCGTGCCAGTGTGCAACGTCTTGCTGGGCCACCTAGAACTATCAGGATGAGCGACACTTCCTCCAGCGCAAGTATAGCCGAACAAGCGTGAGTACTATACGGTTTCAAGATTGATGGAGCGACTGATACTTTACCCATTCAGCGCGATAGCAAATTACATTTTCTTTGCGACGACCAGTGAGCGTACAGGGTATCCGGTGCATCTAGGGTCAACTAATACTCAGGACCATAAAGCTCTCACATCATATGAGTATCTTATAACGATCAAGACAGAAGCGGAGATCATCTTCAAGAAGCGACTTTGGACAATGACGACTATCTTGCTCTTAGCCACCAGGTGGACATTTCTTTGCAGTAATCTTTTCGGATTGATTCCGCTCAACCCCTCGGTACGTCTTTTTGCATCAATAACCTGATTCCACTTTGACTGTAGGCTGTGTTACAGAGGTATGGTCAACAATTGATCGATATTGTCCGAAGCTTATCTTCTGGGCAACTCTGAGCAGCTGCACCGGCGGGATCGTCTTGGAACAAATCTGCTACCTACTCGGATTCCTCGAAATAGCCAGTACGTCGCCATCTTTAGTTTTTGCTCATTTCGCGTGGAGGAAATCACACAATCTAACGTGGAAACTTAGTATTCTCGTCCATGAGAGTATACGCTACCTCCGAACGTAATCTACCAATAACACTTTTCGTGTTTTTCCTCGAAATTACGCCCTTTGTAGAAGCTTTGGTGAGCCACACAAACCTAAACACCAATGTCTTGGGGGTATCATCTGCTAGTCGATGACTCACGGCCGGCTCGCACAGGTCACCAATGCTCAGGAAACTATAATATCTCTCAATTCGTGGCCGATTACCGGATGCACAGTGGCTGATCCAACAAATTGGCCCCTGGTAGACAAATTGTAGGCAGCGTTCTATCTCACCATTGCTCGAGAAGGTATGCTAACTGAGTAAACCCTAGCCGTGAGTGAAATTAAAGCTTAGTCAAGCAACAAGCTAGTTTTTTTTAATAATGCATCCGTATACTAGTACGACCTACATCGCAAGCATGCTTGATTTTGGGAGATTTAATAGTGCTCGTTATAACGTGGCAAAGGACGTATAGGAGTTGGCGCACTGCGCAACAACTAAACATGTCATCACCCGTCACACAGTGTCTGTTGAGAGATGGTGAGTTAAATAGGGCATCGAATGAACAGTTGTCAGTGCTAATCGTCGTTGCTCAGGAACGTGGTTTTTCGTGTAAGCACAGGTACCCAATTGTGATTGGCCAGATCATTCTCTGACCATTGTAACAGAGCTCTACTCGTGGGTCACATACTGCAAGCTACCCTTCCGAGTGAAAGCCTCTCTGTAGGTTCCGTTCAGTGTATAAGCTGAATTTCTAATGCTCCCCTGGTAGTCTATGCCGTTTGTCTCAGAGATAACCGCCACTCTGGTGAGATAGCACGAGTCCGTACTAGGAGGCGATGGTCACTGATCGACTTCCAATCCTTACCTAGCCACCACTTCTCATGAATCGTTTCATGATTAACCTTCGCTCCGCCGCGGAACCGGGCGATAGCTACGCTGCTACATCTAGTTTCCACCCCTCGCGAATCTCTATCCCGAACTTCCGTGCAGTCGCCAGCAGCAGATTCCTAGGGAACATCGGTGAAGATCTGGACGTCGGAGACGCAAGACCAGAATCCAACGAAGAGCGGGCACAGGACATGGAGCTCACCAGCAGTTTCGATGGAGAGGAGGGGCTTGGCACTCCGTCTTCAGCTATCTAGGTCTAGGTCTAATCGAGGCAGATGATGTACAAACGCACTAGTAGAGATAGAGGTCATCTAGCTGGACGTACAGTAACACACCAACTTGCTACTAGTTAGATGGAGCTCAGCACATTAATTATTGATTACATTGTTCATCAAAGCTGGGGTTGACTCTGAACGTTTTCAGTGCAAATAGCTCACACTTCTTGTGCATCTTCATATCGCCTATCTGAACACTCGTCCATCTCTCCATCCTGGCTAAAGCTGAGCTCTTGTGTGCCCCTAGTTTCAGTATCGTAGTAGATTATGTAATTAAACGCGTAGAATATATGAACATCCAGAACCTGACACATCGCAGGAATCATTGTCATCCATTACAAATCCTGCATGTTGAACTACCTTTACAACAATGGTGACGCCTCAACGAGAATCCTGGGAGTATGCGAAAATACTATGTTTATGCCGAGAGCGTCGCAGTAGCCGCCTCCAACGCCTGTTCGATATCGGCAACAAGGTCCTCGACCTCCTCGATGCCCACGGACAGCCGCACGAGGTTGTCGCCAATGCCGAGCAACGCCCGCTCAGCCTCGGGAATGCTGCCGTGCGTCATCTTCGCGGGGTGCTCCGCGAGACTTTCGACGCCGCCGAGCGACTCCGCGAGCGTGAACAGCCGCGCAGACGTGAGGAACTTGTCGGCCTGCTCCATGCCGCCGCGG